TGCCTCAATCAGAATACATTTTTTCTCATCCTTTGTCTTGGCCTTGTTGAACGAGGTTGCAGGACAATGCCATTTCTCGAGCTGGGCTTTCATCTGTGGAATGGTGAGGCTCTGCTGCTGGAGCCGCTCTTCCTGAGAACTGGTTGAAAGGACAAAACCCAGAAGAACTATATTATGTCCATGTATATAACATGATAATATGTATATTTATACATTATAGATATAGAAACATTCAAAGGCACGGCAGTACGCAGACGCCCCCAGTCTGCTTAGAGCCTATCACAGTCTGGAAAAGGCACTTTACCCTCAGTTGTTGTTCCTTCATTCCAACAAACGAAAACGGTGTCGGCATCAATCGAGTTTCGTGAAGAGCTTTGTGAGCCTCAAGCGCTACCTTCTTGCTGCTTCCAATCTTGAAGGACCCGTTGCCGACTTGCAGGTGAAAAACGCCGTCTTTCTCCGACAGGCCATCTGGCTGAGAAGGTGCATCGATCTCAATGATTTTTTCAAACCCATCACGGATTTGAAACCCCGCCAGGATGGACACCATCACCAGGCCCACGTTCTGAAGCTGGTTCCCGTTTCCACAGCGCTCATGGAAACCAAACGGCTGCCGCCAATTCATCGGCGCATCAATTGAAGATTCCCATTTCTGACCATCGGAGACAGCCAAGCCGGTGCAGGCCAGCTTCTCACGCTCCGTCATCCACCGAAGCCTTGCGTGCTCAGGTTGCAATTGCTGTCCCCAATAAAAACCCTCCTCCAAAATTATCATTCCCCGGTGCAGTTTGCAAAAATCGCTTGCCCCAAATGGAACACCTTCTGGGGTTGTGGGCCTTAGCAGCTGAACGGTTAACGTCAACCGGCGCCTTGTACTTACGACATTATATACAGTTTTTTGTAAAACATGGCGAGAAGCAGTTTGCCATGAAACAGCCTCCTGGTTCCACTCTTGGTCAGGCACGGAATGCAGCCATCCTTCCCAGTCATGACAGGGACTTTGTCAGGATCCTGCGCCAAAGCGAAGACGGGTTCCTTGCCAGAATTCGCTCCATACTTCTCCACGAACCTCGACAGATGCACTAAGCAGACTGGCAGGCCTGCTTACTCAGCATTGTTTGTTTTTTACAAAGCATGGAGGCCTAGTTGACCCTCCCACCCCGCGAACTCCCTCCAGTGTGGCAATGGTCAGACGCCTGCACAGCCGAGTCACAGTTCTTGGTAGCGATCCAAGTTTTTGCGCTCACAGGGTGCCAGGATGGGGCGCCAATCCTTCAAGTCGCAAGAATTCGCATCTCCTGCAGGGTGGAGTTGGAATCGCATAGTGTTAAAGCTGCTGACCCTATCAACCAACCATATCTATTTATCCATAATATATATATATGCATATATCTGTGTGTGTGCGCGCACGCATTGGGGTATCATGGATCAACATCGGCAACAGCGCAACTATTTGTTTTTTTCTGCTTTGCACTAACCCTTCTGCATCTTCTGCCATTGCAGTCTTGACTGCGAGCTGTACTTCGGTAACTAAACAAAGATTGCATCAGCCATGCCTCGGCTTCTCCCTGTCGAATTTGCATGCGTGCCCTGCTTCAGTCAACTCTTTGAAAAGCAGGACCCCGCAGGATTTGCATTTGACACGGCGCTGAAAATGATTGGACCCTTTCCGGGTCGTGTAGGCATGGATGCATCTGCCTGGCCCTGCACTGCTTTCAGCGGCTGCAGATCCTGCGCGGGGCACAGGCAAAGAAGGCCGATTCCTTTGTGCAGATGGCTCACTGTATGGATCCACAATCACAACACTCACTGGGCTTGAAGAGTGGCTTGAAGGCTCTTCATCTCCCTCAGAAGTCTCACTCTCGCAGTGCAACAACACCGCAGCCTTCTCCGCCACAAGTGCAATATCTTCTCGGCTAAGGAAGTTGAGCCCCACCAATATAGCACATTTGAGGGCCCGCATCATCAAGGTGGCCAACATGCTCACTAAACGCAGGTAATGAGCTACACAAGGAGCCGGACGGTCTGCGTGCAAGATGGTTTTTAAAAAATGGCTTCAGTCAAACCCTCCAACCCACTAAGCAGACTCACCTTGTTATGCTAACAGCAGGTGCGCGCGCGCGTACATATAAATACCAATAACGATATATATATATATATATTATATGGACATAAATATGTGAATATGTATATATATATATATGTACACATAACTATGTATATATGTGTGCATATGTTTAAAGCATTATACACATACGCTGTCGCACGTTTGCAAACATTAGCGTGCCCAGGTCTCCTGCTCCACTGCCACAACGGAGCATTTCTTGTCTAAGTGCTTCTGCGTCATCCTCCCAAAACATATCCGCAGCAAGAACAGGTTGAAGGGCGTCTTTCACGTGCTTGGCCAGGATTTTGTAGAGATCACCCAAATCCCTCAACATCTCGATCTTGCTGTCCAAGTAGAACACGTCATACCTTTGCACACTGACATGGAGACATGTACATCGCAACGCATGAAGCAGACCCCCAATCTGCTTACAGCCCCAGAGAGCACACTTGAAGAAAGACCTTTTAGCACAGATATCAACATCTCAAAGAGGAGCCAACTTCCGAGTTGTTGTTCCAACCTTTTCTTGAATACTTTAACTTCTCAAGATGCGGGTGAGGTGCCTTCTTGGCCTTCCAATGTGTACACCAATGTCCATAGGATGGGTTTTGAGGGAGATGTGTTTGTATCCATGAGCAGCACAAATTTCCGCCATTCGGTTGGTGACAAAGCCCGTCACGTTTTCGTGCAGCAAAATAGGAGTTTGGCGTTTGACGTGGTAGGTGATGTAGATGGCAAAATGCATGCTTGTCTTGGCCTCTATGCCCTCCATGGACCCCATAGTGCTGTATGAAGTGCAGGGTGATCCACTGGCATCAACAAGGTTTTGACGAGGTTTGCACCTGATATATAGTTGCCAGGGATGTGAAGGAAACCCAAGTATATATATATATATATACAGCTGGTTCAATCACATCTGGCAATTAAGCCCAGAACATACAAAGGTGCTTGGCGCAGTAAGCTTTGTTTGGCAATGGAGACTTGGATGCCATCTCCAACCAGGTGTCAAACCTCTTAAGGCCTGATTTGCTCGCCCCCACCTTCTTCATTTGCTCTAGAATCTTAGGCTGAACAAAGCTCTCCACATCGACAAACGAACATCCATCCCCAAAGACGTCCTGGTGGCTAGCCCGTGCCTTCGAATCTTTCTCCACGGTGTAGAGGCAATCCTGAAGCCACACAAAAGAGTGGGCCCTAAGGAGTAATCAATGCAGTAAACAGCTCCCACAGATCTGCTTACAGGAGTGCTGCTTTATTACACCCAGGCATCCCAGGAATGTACAAAAATAGCTCTTTACGGAACTTTGTAGCATCTCCATATTGTAACTCCAGAGATAAAGTTGGGGGTGGAAAGGGGCTATACGGGATGGCCATGCAGGTGGGAGAGGCTGCACTAAGCAGATCCCGGTGGTTTGCTTCCAGCAGTCTTCCTTAGCTAGCTTCCTTCTAGGTCATGGAGTCCTTGATTATGTACCTTTGCCAAGACTCGTGAAAATATTCTGGTAGGTTTGGTTCCTGAACGAACCGCGCTGCCTCAATGTAGTGCAGTGCTCGCTCACTGTAGCCCATGCCTGAAAACATAGAGCTGGAACCAATTGGGACCTTGGTCCAAAGAAGAGATTCCTTATCCAGTAAATTCTCGCCAATGAGGCAGCGCAGCGCTTCCTTCGCCCATTTCTGGGCATTTAGAAGCGGTTTGTTGACCTCCGACATGGCCCAGATGAGCTGGTGGTAAACTATATACTAAAGGTATATAAACAGATGCGGGTGATGCACTTTGGCGTGCCATCCTGAAATATGGTCTTGTTCTACATACTGGATTGAAATAAGCATATGCACACCTGTTTTTATGAAGCTCCATTGTGAATATATTGTTTTGCGGGTTAGCGCCCCAAACCCAAGCTGCAGGCGAGCCAGCGATTTGCAAATTCAGCAAACCCAACTGACTGAGAATGACAAGGACATGCCTAGCACAGTTTCTAAGCACAGAAGCCAGTCTCCTTCTCCAAAATCACAACATCCTTTCAACCCTCCCTCATTTGGCTCTTTATCCATCGTGTACTCTGCTTACTGGGGGTCACGTTTCCACATGTTTCCACTATGAACATGGTACAAGTGTTCTGCTTACTGCAGGGTGCCGTTTTTGACACACCATAACCATGCTTGCTAAAACCCTGGTTTTTAGTACTTTTCGTCTGCACTAAGCAGAAATGTTCCTGCCTCCTGACTGGGTTTGACTATAATATATAATATATATATTGTGTATATTGTGAGGAAATCCAACCACTGGGTTTTAGTCTAATTGTGCGTGTGGGTTGGGGGTCTTTGCGGTCCCCGCACCTCAATCCACACCCATTTGGTCACACGCTCGCGAAAGCAGTGTGGAATGGAAACATCCGGAAAGTTGGCATCCATTTTTCAGGTGGTCTCCGTTTGGGTGGTGGAGTCTAGAATAAGGGATTTTCTTGGGTTTGTTTAAGGCTAGCTAGTTGCTACCGATGTAGGTCGTTTACAAGAATATGGTCATTTACATTGCACACAGGCGTTTCATCCACGCTTGTGATTTTGAGTGTTCCTTGGAAAGCGATATGGGATGTCCAAAAACGATGCTCCTACGTTATATTCAACATGTCCCTGGAAACTGTGCTGGAACACCCTTCAAAACGATATCAACGTACTGTATACTGTATATAATTCAACGGATACCTACAGTGTCCATGTGCAAAACGCTGTAAATCGCAACATTGAATGAGTACTGACTTCACCTTGCACTTTGCCCTAAACATTCATTCAGAAAAGTGTGTTTTGTATACCCGCAGACTACATAGTTCAGTCATTTTCGACCCCTAATCCGTGGCCACTAGTGGCTGAGACGGATCTTCACCACATCCAGGATGCGGCCCTCGCTGAACAGTGCCAGAACCTTCGAGCTTCATGGCCTAAAGAAGGCTTCCTGATGTGACCAGAGTTGTACTGTATTACGGTGGTTTCAGAGGTTCGATGGCACTGGCACCGAAGATGTCCTAGACAGATGGGGTTCACATGGATCCACTGTTAAAGCACCGACATGATCCGACATTGGGTTTACGCAATCTACTTTGAAACCACATGAAACCACTATAAGTCCAGGCACCGGCCCCCTGCCCGTGGCGAAACCAAAGGATCGACTCGATCGACGCCGACCCACTCCCGAACACTGTGTTTTACGGTGTTTTCTGGTCTTCGGACTTTTTTGATTGCTTTGGATATGTGTTTCGAGTTGAGTTGTTTTCAAGGGCACGTGGTGCGCTTTATGCTGCTCAAGACGCTTTGCATTAGTAGCATGTTGCGTTTTTGTTTATGTTGGTTTTTCTCGCTAGTGCTTTTTCTTTTCATCTTGTGTTTTTGTGTTTGTTTCGCTCTTTCTCCTTTCTCTTTCTCTTCCGCTTTCTATTTTTATTCTTCATGTTCTTCTTTTGGCTCTTCCTATGTCTCTTCGTGCTTTGGCTCTTTTCTTTCTTTTTCTCTTTCTCTTGGAAACGGTTCCTTCCTCACAGGGCCATCCGTTTGGGGGGTCTAGCTGGGCTTCCGGACTTCCTCGGTCTGCAGGACCTGGAGCTCTGGGGTGTTGCGTCGCTTCTTTCTCCAAATGGAGTATGGAGGTGCCACAAGACCAAAGCTAAGGCGAAGCGACCATTGAGCCACCACTGGGTTTGTGTCTAACGGTGAGGCAACAGAACGTTGTTCAGCCACCGAAAACGATGGGTGTCCAGCGCATCCGTGGTCCCAGTCGGAGTGCGCCTGAGACCTCGTTCGATCGCCCAGGTCTCTGGCGATGTGGAAGAGGTGCGACGTGGATCCAGGTCTGAAAACATGAGGATCACGGGTACAGGAAAGCCTGGTTGGTCAGATGCACAAGGCATCGCGCTGGTGGGGCGCACTTGATGTAGTATATAAGTTGATATAAGATGATATAAGCAATTTAGAGCCACCCGAGCCCTAGAGGGGCTTGAGTATGATGTGTTTAATTCTGTTATTGGGGGATGGTTGTCCGACCATGGCCTACCAGTTGGTCCAACTGCAGGAAGAACTCTCCTTCAGTGAATCAGCTCGATGACATCGCATGACCTGCCCCACGGCGAGATTCTGCAGGATATGTTGTTGTGAATATAGTTTTTGCCGCTTCAACCACTGAAGGTCCAAGATGCATGTTCTTCAGGCGATGATACACGTCAATTCGCAAGAAGGGTCTTTTGATGTCTTTTGTTTCTGAGGATTGCCTGCTCGCACGGGAGAATGCACTATGAAATTTGTTCAACCGATTCACCTTTGTGAACAAAGTCTAACAAAACAACTCAGAATTATGTCAGCAATTTCAGGTTGAACAGACGCAAACAGCGTCATATAATTGAATCCTTTATAGATGATAAGGCATCCACCAAAACGGGCTGTTGTCAACTTTGGGGTGGGCTATGTCGGAGACAATGGCGATTCAATGCGCGAATGTCGGCAACCCTGCTGCGGCACGGTTTTGAGCTCAAAGCGTGCAGGGCCTCACCTTTGATGATCAACCTTCTTTTTTGAACCTACCTCTCAAGAGAAGGCGTTGCGCACCACAAGGATCCAACTTCTTTGGGAAGCCAATGGGGTGGCATCAACCACCTGGAGAAAGACGCTGTTCGGAACATGTGTGAAACAATGTCTTGCTTTGTGCCATGGCTTGCTCACAGAGTGAACTGTGAAGGTTGCTCAAAAGGGTCACGATTTGGGTCTTTCCCACCAGTAGAAGAGAAGCTGGCATCCCACATTTACAGGTTCTGATATCACTTCGGTCTTTGCCACGTTGACCTTTTGGCCCCGGAAACACGGCGGCCAGGTGAAGAAGAAAGAAGACCTGATTAAGTCGGAGGCCATGAGGCCGTCCACGGCCCACCGAGCAGCTGTCCACCGTAGACCGGTCCGGAGAAAAGAGAAGTGACCGGTGCCGACGTCGGAGACGGCAGGGCAGGGCCATGTTTGGGCAGGGATTCGGTGGATTCGGTGGGAGGAGACTGATTGGTGAAGGAAGGCTCGGTGGATTCTCCACCAGCGACATGGAAGGAAGGAAGCAACCGAAATGAAACTTGACCAAGGAGGATTCAAATATGATCGGATGTAGCCAGAGGTTCATAATCCCGTGCATGCAGTCATTCGCATCAGGTGGCCTACAATGGTGCAAGCCTAGCACTCAGGGTTGGAGCGCGTTGGGGCTAGCTGGGGGCTTTGAATTCCAGTGCATCCCCAGCCCCCGAACAGAGCCCCCCCAACACAGCAGATTCTTGAGAGATCTTGGGAGCAGCTTTTGGGAGGACTCCTTGTAGGAGTCCCCAGCTGGCAGGAGATCTGAACTCCAGAATTTGTTTGGGAGAGAACCAGCTGAAACCTGCTGCAACCATCTGTAATGACTGGAGATGTTTCGACCATGGGTTTTACTGTAACACATTCAGGTTCTCCACATCCATCAGGCTCTGCTCGAATGAAGCCCTTCTTGCTGCAAGAGAGCAAACGACCTGTATACAGTAAAACAAATAAGGTACCAGGACCCTCCAGTCGGGGTGTCCTGTCTGGAGGTCCCTTAGTAGTAGGCTGGGGCTTCCAGCCAGGTGACCCCGACATGAAGGTGCTGGTAGGTGCTGTGTTACTTTGAGGGTAGAAACCTAATGAAGCTTACGCATCCGATTCTGAGGTGGCATCCAGGCCTTCGTGTACATTCTGCTGAACATTCTATCACTTCTAGAGAAAGGGATGGGAGGAGGTACGGAGAGCTCAAAGTTGTTTCTCGAACTCCTCACTGTTCCCAAAATGAGCACAGCACAAATGACGCGAAAGGGAAGACCGGTGAGATGGTCTTCCCAGCGGGAATAGAAAAAACATCCACCCCTGCTTGATCTTGCTTGGGCACCCGCCAGTGCATCAAAGCCAGGAGTGTTTCCCTGTGGACCAGCAAGTGTCCATTTTCTTGAAAAGTTATTGGGGTTCCTGCGAGATAGTATTACTTTCCCCCGCTCAAAAACATTGTCTTCGCATGCCCCTTTTGCGGTATCTGTGTTTGTTTGTGCATAGAAATCGACAACGAAAACGATCACAGAGCGAGCCTAAAACAACAATGGTGAACTGTGCGACAGCGCCATGCAGCACAAATGCATGCGAGTCACAGAGGCACACCATGATATAGTTGTACAAATGTTGCAGCTAGTCAAGGAGTCAAGGCACTGTAAAAGTGATACGGAAGTAAACATCGACAATAAGGGAACACTTATTAACAATTGACATTGGAAAGGTAGAGCGGTTTTTAGACAACCTGATACCTCAGGTAGAAGTTCAACGTTTCCTTCCCCAAGAACAGCGGGCCTCTCCCAGCGGTCTGACCGCCGGTCGCCGCGGCCTTCCCCGGAAGCGACTCGAGGCGCCGCAGCCGTCGCCGCCACCGGGGGAGCATTGGACGAGATACCAGGAGCGTTGACTCGGACGGGGCGTTCGGTGGAGTCGGATGCGATGAGTGAGTCAACGCTGAAGTGCACTTTTTCTCACACGCCCTGAAAATCATAGAAGTGGACAAGCGGATGGCACCATTTGTTTTTGTGGATTTTTTGGCAGAGAAGATTGGTCTTCCAGGGGTTTATGCCATCCACGTAGCTGACGTAGCCATGATTATTACAGGTGATTAGCTTTTGGTGCAGGCCTCCTTTTAGTGCAGGTCCAGGGTCCCACTGCGGGTCCTGGGTCTTAAATGTTGAGCCGCGGCCGGTTGCATTTGGGTTTCCATGTTTCTTTGGGGTGTTGGCGTAGCCTCTTCCTTGGCCTCCTCGTGCTCATGCCTTTAGATAAAGTGGAACACATGAAAGCTCTCCCTCAAGCATTTAATGCGCCACATGCATGGTTGTAGTCAACCCTTCAGCTGGAAATCGAGTGAGATCCTCTTTCGGTTCACGCAGGCCATTGGTGTATGCTGAAGAGATCTGAAGAGACTATTTTGATGATTTTGGATGCCATGTCTTCAGGGGCTGAAGATTCAGCAGCTTAAAATGCGCCCCAGACTCTGGGACTTTTTGGATTTGTGAGAGGTCTCCGAAAAGAAAGACTAGATTTCATGAGGCTTTTACACACCCCCTGCTCGTTTTCGAGCAAACATGGTATCATGGTTTTCCCGCTTTTTGATGGTCCACCTCCATGAGCCAACATGGGTCAGAGTGTAGGTCTGATGTGACTCTGTAGGTTGAGTGCCTGGTCAATGCAGGGCAGTCCATAGGTGACACCATGCATGGCGCTGGCCACGTTTGACGCAGAGGAAAAGCATGGAATGAATTGGAAGCAATTCAACAACTACACTCAGGAACCCACAGAAATGACATCACAGGAGGAACTGCAAGTGCCAAGTTCCGCTCATGCAAGATTCTTCAAAATTCTAGCATCAGCCGTGAAAAGGGTCCCTCCAGATGATTGTTTGTGTTCTGTGCTTCTTGTGTGTTATTCACGTTGCAGGGGTGTCCCCTGCTTTTGAGTTGAGTGTGTTGGATTCCAACTCATCCAGTGGCTCGATGCCTTGCTTGGACGTCAGGACGAAGATGGAGGCCAGTTGACTTCACCGCTGCACCAGTTGCGTGGGCCAAACACCGGACGGGGATGAGGACGCATGTAAACCATCGGAAAGTTCTTGTGAAAAAATCCACCAACCATGAAGATGTTGATGACATGAAGCACAACCTCTCAAGGCTGGGATAAGTTGAAACTGGGATGTAGGGGAAGCATATGGTTTTCCAGAGGCCCATTTCTCAGGTTGTTGGGATTCTGGGGTGTCAAAGCCCTCCCAGACCAAGTAAAACAACTTACATATATAGAAGAAGCCGGTTCTAGAATTCACATGCATCAGATTTTGGGGTCAACTACCTTCACCAGCGCTGAAACCCTTCAGAGCCGGACAGACATCACAATGTTTCACTGTTCTCGTATCACTGCGGCTTTGACCCTACAAAAACGCACATTGAAGTGGTTTCCGGTTTCCCACACCTGTTTGCAGAGGATTTCATGGTCTTCTAGGGGCCCATGTTCCATTTTCATCCATCCATTTTCCACTTCCATGGAGCGTAAGTCAAAGTGCATCTCCTGCTCTCGCAGGTGAGTATTGGTACCATTATGAGGGCCCATTGGGCCAGTGGTGGTGCGGTGTGTGTTCTCAGTGTGACGAGGGATGAAGACGGTGGCGCTACTGGGAATTAGTTGGTCTGAAAAACAAAAGATGTAACGTTGGGAGTCCAACCACCTTTGTTTCAAAGGTCTCTACCAACTGTACTAAGGATGATTGACTACAATGCAGGTCAACCATTCTTTGGGTCTTTGGCCAGGGGCACTGGTCAACGCCGGTCTCGTCCACGTGGCGAATTGGACGGAGGGCGCACGGTGGACCGTTGGTTGCCAATGATTGTACCGGCAGAAATGAACTTTTGCCAATCTTCTGCATGAAGAAAGTTTATTGGCAACCAAACATTCTGCATGAATAAAGTTGCCAATCTTCTGCATGAAGTGAACTTTTGCCCCATCAAGTGATCATTCAGGTTGACCCTTGGGAAAGACTTGACCTGACGGTCTTGCTGAAAGACGATTCATGAATCTTCCCAGCAGCCTCACTGCCAGGTCACCACCTGACCATTTTTTTTTGGCCAAAGCCTCCATTCCCGAGACCGGAAGGTGCTGCTCGAAGATGCCATGGTCGGGTCTTAAAGGTAAATACCCGGCCAGGAGTCACGCTTGTGGGCTTCCACCGGTAGGAGTGTGTCCACGTGTGTTTGGTCATGTTTGACTTATTTGTTGCGTTCTTGGTTTGAATATGTGTTGTCTCGGTGGCATGAAAAGACGGACCAGCATGACCTAGGAACTCTATAAACATCTATATATATATAAACTATATGCGTATTGCTTGGGGTGCTGGCTGGGACCGGTCGGACGTCGGGACCTCGCGAGCCGTGTGCCCGCCTGGGGTCATGGGCCCGACCGCTGAGGTTCAGATCATCAGACGATTATGCCCTATGTGGCATGAGTCGCGCGAGTGGCGTGAGCGACACTCCTGGCCGGCTGCGGAACTCGTGACTGAACATGGGCTGCACTAAGAGAACATAAGAGAACAAACAGTCGGGTTTGGTTGAGGGGCTGACTGAAACATCCACTGCCTGAAACGACCAGTTTCCTTGACATTCCTTGGCTCGAGTCCATGCCGACATGTCGATACATGTGTGAACTATCCCGCCCGGCCGTGGAGCGGAGCGAATCGCCAGCCACGTGGGACCGACTTAGCACTCACTTGGCCTCTCGACTTTACGTATACGATCAAAGCCACGATCGAACAGAGGTGAAGGGTGAAGAATCCCATTTCGATATACCAAGTGAGGTTGTATACTTTAAATCTTTTTGTATTATTTCCGTCTAGTCGCACCGTAATCGATGCCCCAGCAAGAGCGTGCTGCTGCACGGTGCGTGGTGCATCATCAGCCTGTGTGGAAACAGAAAAGGGCCGAAGCGCGAGGGTGGCATCACAGGGGATCAAGACAGGGAGCCAGGTTAGATACAAAATACCATCGACATAGCTGCGCATACTGTAGCATCGTGTTCAGCTGTTTTGTGACCGCCACAGGTTTGAACAGATCTTTGCATACGATGCCTGTCACCCACTTGTGTGGGTGAACATGCTGCTGCATGTTCATCACCCGGATTCACCGATTTGTTGGTGATTTGGTACAGCAAATGAGCTGATGGTGCTGCCATCACCACCAAATTCACCACCAAACTCATCCAAACTCCAAAAAGGTGCCGGAATGAGGACTTTTTTTTCACGAACCAAACACCGCGGTAGGATCCACCTCGGACCTTACAGGGCCCTTTGGAATGAAGAAACGTGTGGAGCGACGTGGCCCGAACGGGCCCGAGTTCCGGGTGGGTTCTGCTCGTCCTTCCGCCGATGAGGTGTGTTTCTGTTGGAAAGGGATTAGGAGCCACACATGCATATTATACTGTATATATAAGTAGGGTCTGTCCGAACTTACCTGTAACAGTCAGTAAACAATTATCACTATTTTTGGACAAGGCCGTTACTAACCATCGTCATCCACTGTTACAGCTATATTAGGATAGACCCAAACTATAATATAAATATATATATATGTATACCTGAATGCATGTATTTGGATTGTATATATACCTGCATACACACGGTCCGTTACAAGGCGTTTCTTGTTCCTCGAGCCTACGAAATCCACGGAGGATTCTTTGGTTCTTTGAACCAGTGACACACCGCTGGCCTCGCTGGGCTTGGTAGGACGGACGTCGTTTGGGACACCGTTGGCCACCGTTTCCCGGGACGGTGGAGCCATGTCCGCAGGGCCTGATCAGTCCGCCAGGTGAGTTCTGGGAGGGGGTCTTGAGAGAAGGCTATGTGGGGCGGTTGGGGGTCGTTTGGATCTTCCAACAACTTCCCAACGATTGATGGATCCAGTTTGATGGATCGATTTGTGAAAGGCTTCTGGACCTTCCAATGCCGGTGGTTGTTCTTTTTTCAGGCAGAACTTGTGGCACCGATGGCGCCCTGCCACCCGGTGCTGCCACCCGACCGGGCGCAAGAACAACAAGGGAAGCTATACTGTGGCCCGCACCAAACAGCGAAGATCTCGGAAAATCACCGAGGATCCCCATGGCATTGGGAGCCTTATGGACACCCGGACACGTCTGATCACCAAGTAATTCGCATCCCTTGGGGTGTGCCTCAGATGGTCCTGGTATGAGAATGCTCCCTGAAATCATCATGGAAGTGGATGGCTTGGATGACCATTTTCCTTTACAAACAGGTGGTGATCTTTTGGGTTTGTCCTATTACCTCTAACAGTCACTAAAAGAAATATCACTATTACTAACTATCATCATCCACTGTTTTTGGTATTAGGATAGGCCCAAGTGATCTCCACTTCTACCACCACCCGGATGTACCCGGAGCCAGGGGCGAGGAGGAAGTGGCACGGAAGCGCCTCTTCCGCGGGACGCGGCTGTGTGCCTCGGGCGCAGTTTGGTCCAAGCTGGGGGTGGTGTCGAAATATGCAATCCTCAAATGAGATCCAACAGAACCAGAATGGAGTTGAGATTTGCCTCAAAGAATCGACCAATGGATGCATTTGCTTGAGTTCCATTTTGGAACAGCCCGGAGATCTGAACCAAAAAGGAATCGAGCAGAAGCTCCTCGAGTAAACTCAGACACGTATAGGAATTTACGCCACTACATTGACATACATTAACAGCATCGCATAACGCGCATATGATGCAGTTTGCCTTTCAAGTTTGATGCCCTTGTGTCACCAATAGCTCCAAAGCCATCGTTGCCGGATGTTCCTGCACTTACAGTGCCACAACTAGCAGTGCATGCGGCTCCAGAATGCAGTTTGAGTCATGCATGTTCTACTGAAATGGCTCGTTTGAGACATTCCTTTTCCATCCTTTTCCGATATGAGCCAGGATCCTTTTGTGTCCTTTTATGATGAACGCAGGCTTTCCGCACATGGCCCACTCATGTTATTTGTTCAATCTTCCAACGTCTGGCAACCACCGCGCCAGAAGACGTACTGTTCGCTGAACGAGGCAAGTTCTTCCTGGCTGGCTGCTGCTCTCGTGGAAATGCATGCAATTTTGCCCACTCGCAGGGTGACCTGAAGGATTTACCAGATGCTCGGCGATCTCGGAGCGCTGGTTTGTTCGGTGATTCGGAGCCCAGTGGTGGTGCGCTATATGATCAAACCAGGACCCTCCGAGGGTGTCCTGTCTGGAGGTCCCTTAGTAGTGTAGGGGCTTCCATTGGTGACCCCTTTGAAGGTGCTGGAACAACAGTAATTGATTCTACTGGTAGTCCAAGATCAACATGTTGGGTTTGGTTTCGTGCCCTTCTGCTTCAGGGGCCCTGATAGAAAAAAAGCAGAGACGTGTAGGATTGCCGTCAACGCACGCCCATTCACAATGTCAGAAGGCGTTGATATAGGAAGCCCATGCCTTTGGGAGTTCGAGCGAGACGGAGTCCTATCATTTAAGCCTCCTAGAGCACATCATATTCCAAAGGGTTGCGAAGTTGTGACAATGTGCCTGTTGTGTCCTCACCTCGTGAAAAAGGAAGAGCAAATGACAATCATTTTGCAAGCTTTCGAAGGGACGCCTATATACATCCTATACGCACTACATACACAGATGTTCATGAGACTCGCCCCCCCCGCCTTCTGGTCTTTTTTCTTTTAACGACACATATACACATCGTCGATCGGTGAATCGATTTGACCCAAGGACTTCTCAAAGACTAGACTTTGTGATCCCTTCATGAAAAGCTGCTTGGCACATCTTGGCACCGCAGTTCTTGTTGATCCGGTGGAGTTGCTGTGGATCCTTCTCATGCTGGACGCGTGAGGAGTCGATTTGGCAGCCGAGGCATGTTTCCGAACTGAGCAGTTGGTTTTTTGGGGGGAAGACAACGCGACAAGTGCATGTGCTACACGCGACAGGTGCATGGAGCTACACTTCCGAGGCCCCTTGCCGGCCCTAAGATGGACCGGCCGAGGCACCCTGTAGTCAGACGGTTTTCCTTTGACCAAAACCGGTTTTCAGTATCCAGCGGATCGTTTTCAGCGGGCTATTCTTTCCACCTCGGTCAATGAGCAAAATCCCTTTCGGGCGGTCAAAATGGAATGGTTCCCCTTCATGTGAACGATAGCTTTACGAAGGGTTGCTGGGACTCGATGTCGTGCTATAGCTTTACATAGCTCAGGGAACGGCACTTCTCAGATGCCGTTGGAAATCAACGTCACTTGAAAGCCCCTTAAAATGGGGCCATATGGGGCCCGAGTTTCAGGTGACATCCCTCATGCAGTTTACTAGGGATGTGGGCCACGGCCAACCTCGGAGGCTGATGCCAAGTGCCCTAGTTGATGTGATTCACCTCGGAGTTGGTTTGACTTCAGTCCTTTTTGTTGCAAAAATACATTTAAAACTTTAAACCATTTTTAACCACTGTGAACGTCGAACGTACTACGTTTGTTTTTGAGAACAGGTGGGGTGATTTCCCCCCTCCAGTCGTTGATGGGGGGGGTATCAAAACGATCATTCAGTCATGTAGGCACACCCCGGACCCACCGAAGCCAAAGACAACTCTTCCCCGCTGAGGCGGAGTCTGTGACGCGGGCCGCTGGGCAACGGCAATGAGAATGGGACCTACGGCGGAGTTATTGACGGTTTGGACCTATGGCGGAATCGAAACTTAAGGCATTCGATCAGGGTATTTGGCCAGGGACTCGAATATTTGGACATCATGTTGGAGGCCTGCTTTGTTGGTGGACGCCATACCCGAGAATCCCAACCGTCCTTTTCAGCTGCGAGACAGGGCCGACCCCGGTCGCCTTCGCGCCGAGACGAGGCGACAAGTGCAAGTTTGCACACAGCCACGACGAGCTGCGACCCAGCCACCTGGCGACCCTCCACACGCGTCGCTGAAGGGACAGGTCGTTCGAGGGGGTCAGCACCACGGGGGGGGTCGTCGGATGAGAAGGGTCCGGTCGGCGAGTTTGGGTCAGGGGGTCGGTATCAAGGTCCCATGGTGTGGTTGGCGTGGTGTTCCAGGAGTTTTTGGCTGATATGCTGGAACAGGGATCCCCCATGATCCCCCTCTCACACCTCCCGAACAACTGGTGAACCAACTGGACGGGGGACAGGCCGAGGCGACACCGGTGTGGGACACCCGAGAGTGGGAGACCTGACTGACTTGGAGACCGGGGGGTCCAGACCGGTTGGCCCAGGCTATATCTCCAAGTCCAAGAGCCTCGAAAAGCGACCCTCGCGCGAGCTGCGCGAGGATCGAGCACCTCAGGCGTGGTCGGAGATCGTTTTCAGAAGACTGGGCCGACTGGTGAAGTAACAGTTTACATGACAGTTGCATGTGGAACCAAATAGGTCCACGAGTCAACCCACTTTCGCATGTGCCATGATATTCCACTGGTATTTTCGATCTTATGTTGCAAGGGCCTAACAACCTTTGAGAGGAGACCTGCGTCTTGAGGCCATGGAGGCCAAGAAGGGCGCCAGTGGGCCACACACGTGCAGC